CAACAAACACATGCAACAAAAATGTTGCTGATGATCGTTTGCACTCGTGAATTATCAGCATTTGCGCCTAATTTGTCTAAAATGGCACGTTCCGTCTCAACAATTTCGTTATAAGCAGATCGTGTTATGAACAAAAATTTCGTAACGAAATAAATTTGGCTATTTCTTGTTTAACACGCAAAATGCGGTGGTGAATAGGTTTCGCAGTTCATACAAAGCAGCTAAAAATTCATCATGTAAGCAGTCCAATTGACCGTAAACATAATCACTCAAGCGGAAAATATTGTCTAATCAAATTCGGTTTCAAACTCTTTTTTATCACTCGCATTATACACAACTATAATCGTTAGTTTTTGTAAGGAGTACTGGTTGCTCCCTACAAACAATTTGAGCGTCGGACGAAAGAGGAAACAGCAATATCAGAATAAATTGCACTTCTAAGACATAATGTAGGAAGTCAGAAGAAGAGCATATAAACAAATAATGTATCACCCGTGTCATATCTGGTTGCAATTCAGACGCTTTTTATGCGTTTTGTACATTTTCACGGGGTTGTCTGTGTGTGCGTGTGTGTGTCCAACATTTTGTCCCGCACTTTCAACTCGGGAACCACAAAAGCTAGGCGGCTGAAATTTTGGTATAGGGTCCCTCGCCAGCGGGTGACGCGCAAATTTAAATTCAACCTTCCCGTACCCGGGGGAAACGCGTACGGCTCCGTGAAAGTTTTTTATGGAGTAAATGTTTTTGATGCGTTCTTGAGAGGTATTACGGGGTCGTTGTGACTAGGCAAGATGAAGTGCGAAGCGTGGTTTTTATAATAAATTTATCAAAACTTGGCAAAAAAAATAAGTTGAACAACATTACAATTAAAAAGACCTGATCAAGGACCGGTAGAATTGGTGGGAAACGAACAGAGGCCGTACAAAGGGGAAGACGACTTGTCGTAAAATTCTTGATGTCGAGTCGTATGTACTGAAAGGTGTTCCAGGTCGAAGTTCCTGGTGTGTAGCTGACGAATTCCAACAATAGACCAAGAATAAAGGGAACCAGGGGTTATATAGGGGGAAGATTGGTCCTGCCCCTAAGACGAGATGTCCCGCCTTGTTTACCCCCTTTGTATCCAGCTGTAATCGCTGGATACGAAAACACATCAATCACTTTATAAAAGTGCATGCAGCTCTGGCTTTGTATTTGTACACCCATGGGGGGCATAGGGGTGGGTACCGTATGGATGGGAAAAAGAAAAAGTGGAAACAAAAGGGGAGTTTTGATAAATGGTTTTTTTTTTGTTTAAGGGACTAAAAATGAATGAATAATACTTACAATGGGTAAATTAATATCTCTGGAACCACAAGGTCTAGAAAGTTGAAATTTTAGGGTAATGACCTCCTGCTAACGTTCGACCTTGCCTATTCATATTCAGCGTTCATGCGCTCTTGAGTATCACCTACGGCCTCGAGAAAATTTTGGCGGGTAAGTTATTAACTCGAGGATCACGGAATGGTATTCACCCTTCAAGGTTTCGGATTCAGCTTTCATGCACTGGTGCGTGAAGTT